TCATTCTTTCTCTTTTTTAGATGCCTCTTTTTAAACCCTTTTTTTCATCGTGTTGAATTAAATTGTGCACACCATACTAATTGCATGGTGCATAAAATGATGTGAGTGAAGCCAAGGCTCTGTTCTCAGTTGGTGCTGTTGTCACCTTGAACGAGGATCTTCTCCTTGGTTCCTTTGTGTCCACAATTCCCACAATTTTCCCTTGAAATGTTGACCTGAAATTTGTCTGGAGCTTTGCTGCTTTTGTAAGTAGGAGTGATTTCCAAACTTCTTTATGCTAATGCTTTGGTATATGAATAATGGAGGTCTTCATTATTCCCCTTTTTATGTTCTGAAAGAAACATATTTGTTGGCCATTCGTTGAAGCCCCCAGTATAGGATTTGATCAAGGCACTTGGACACACAGTACCAGCCTTGTTTTTGGCAATGCTAGAACAGACATGGTGTGGTGTGTCTTCACTATAGAGTTAACTTGGTTTAAATGATTGTTTTCCATAACTGGAATACTTTTTCCTATGGTCAGGCTTAAAATTTTCCCACTTGCAGGACAGATTGATATTGCAATTATTTTATAATTGGATTAAAGCACATACATGCTTTCTAGTGCACTTTTGGGCAGGGAAGTAGAGTGAGATTGAAGTTCATTGAAACATTTATTCTAACAATACTGAAATGCTTTTTTCCTCCTTTAAATCTTACATGTTTAAGACAAACCATTGTCAAACACTCTCTTCTTTCACAAAGCAAGGTCTCCTAAAGCAAACACAGCACTGGCTGTTTTAGTTGAAAGTGTATTCATGGTGATTTCCTGTCTCAGATACTGCGAATCACTGGATTTTTTTTAATTTACAGAGTCTCCAAGTAAAAGCAAATGGGAGGCCATAGCCTAAGAAGTGGATTATATCAGGCTATACAGCTGCAGACAGCCAATCATTGAATGTGGGAACTTTATCTGGAATATTAATTTTCCTTTTGATCAGTAAGAACATTTGAACAAGTCCAGTCAAAATGAGATTCTGTGAAGGGGTGATTGTGTGTTCAGCAGTGAGACTTGCACCAGAGGTAGTCTAAAAGATCATGGTTTTCAGACTGAAGACAAATAAACTACCACAAATGTAAATATGAGGATAGAGGGGCAGAACCACAACTGATACAAATCTATATAACTTTATTGATTTTTTCCCCCCAGCTGAGGAAGTGGACCACTATATTTAACATCCATTAGTGGTGTATTTAAATAAAACTAAATAAAAGATCAGAAGTGTGATTACAGTTTCTAAAATTTCAGACCCCTCAGCACTTTCTAATTTTTATGCATTTGAGGCACCTCTGTTTTATTGATGCCATTCTTGTGGTATTTTAATACACTTCAGAGTACTGTTGAAGAAGAACACAGCTGCCTTTTCAAAGTTTTCTAAAAAATCAAAGCAGATGTAAGGCTCCACTACAAGCAGCATCCCTGCTGCGTAACCCAAAGGTGCAGATTTCTCAGATGTATTATGATATATGTTAACACTGAAATGCTTTCTGGTCTTTTTTAAGCTAATGAACGTTCATGTGTCTGCATAGCAAAGGCTGACAGCAAAGCTTAGATAGACCTGTCTCTTTGGATCAGCTTAAGTGTTGAACTTTTTGTGCTCTTACCCAGAACATGTACACCTGGCACTGCCACAGTCAAACTGGATTCAATATTAGCACTTCACTTTTCCGTTACAGTTGAACTACAGTTTTGAAACTTATCCATAAATTTAGCTACCAAACCCATACTTAGCCACACAAATAAAGGTGAGCTGATGTTCAGGATGGGAAGAGACGGTTGAAAATCAGATTGGTTTTACATATACTTTACAATCTATGAGTTTTTATTAGCATTTTGATGTAACTTAATCAATCAATGCTTAGCATATGTGGAGTTAGTATATACTTTTAGGCATAACCAGAAGGGTGAGTTACAGTTCTTCCAAGTCAGTCCCATGTTTCCTTTCAGAGGAGAATATCAGGAGAAAGGATCTGGATGCAACCTATGAAAAAGCCGATTTTTCTAATCTCTAGGAAGAGACTTTGCAGACTGAAAAATCTTCAAAAGAAAAAAAAAACCTACGAAGTACTGGTTTGTTGGCTTAGGGAGTGGCAAAAGTGAAAAGGGAGCAGAATGAATACTGATAATGGACACATTGAAGAGCAAGAAAGGAGAATTATTTGATAGCTGAAGTGGTGATTTAGCTCTAGGGACATCCAAGGATGAAAAAACTATGGGCAGAAAAAACTGCATTAGAAAAGAAACCATGCACAGAATGAAGAAACCTAAACTAATAAGATAGGTTTACTCTAAGTGAAAAAGATAGGACTGGCAAAGAAATTGAGGCAGATCACAGTAAAAGAAGATTTTATTTCATTCCCACTATATTCATGTATTTCTTGTACTGTGTATGGCAGTGACTAGTTTTTGGAACCTTTGCAGCCCTTGCATCACTTTGTGTCAAATATTATGGGCTTCCAAACAGGACTGAAAACTTAGACTGCCAGCAGATCTTGTTTGAGGAAAAATATGCTTAAATAAGAGGGTGGACCTGGGATTCAGCAGAGGTCCTGAAGCTTCTGACAGATGGAATTTCAGCTACAGTTTCCAAATCTCTCAGCAGCTGAGGATTTATGTTCATAAAGTGATGTAGAAAATGGAGGTGGTGCTATAGGAGACTTGGGGACACACAAACCCAGAGGATGATCTTCAGCTTCAGAATGTGCACTCAACCATGTAATCCATCAGAAAGTTATATAGTGGTGCTCAGATATGAGTATCAGGGCAAGACTAGTTCATTTCTGTGTGATGTTTGGCTTTTATTTTTTTCTGCTTATTAATAACCTATTTGTACTTTCATGAGTTACTTAAATGCTGTCAAATGACTGTCAATAAAATCTCCCCACAGTTCTATATTTTTGTATAAAATACATACAAACTCTTTAAGTGCCACTTGGTAGATGCTGTGCATTGCGAAAGACCCCAAAGCTCAGCCATGTAGTTCACTCAAGCAAAGGTCCCATTATTTGTCCTGGTTTCTTCAGAGACTCATTGTAGGTTTCAGGCTATAATTTAGTGGCTGATTCATCTTCTCCATTGCATAAAAACTTTTCTTTATTCTTATGCAATTAATATGGAGCTTAATAATTTTAATTTAATTTGTGACGCTTAAAATTAATTACTATGTGTCATTTATTTTTGCACTATCACACTTTTCTTCAAGTAAGTGTTTAGATTTAGGAAATGGCAATATACAAAATTTATGTAAAAGCAATGAGTACATATTGATATATGACGGACAAACCACTAAAATTATAACCACAAGTACTGTCATTTATTGCTAGTTCTTTATGAGATTTCTCATTTTCCTCTTCCTCTGGAGGGGCATTCTCTGTAAATACTTCTCTACTTGGAGAAGTTGACCCTCACGACACAATAAATGCGTAGAATAAATTCCTGCCTGAATTCTGATGCATTAGTAACATTATTTTGCAGTAGTTATCTTGAAATTGCATTGCTTTACTTGTGAGAATCTACCCATGGGGGTGAAAAATTCCAATATAGCTGAAGTAATTTTGGAAGTACATCTCCTTGGGAGATAACATGCATGGAGTACCTATTTTGCAACAGTTGCTGTAGGAGACAGCAGTGACCAAGATAGGTGATTTCATGGCAGTAGATTTTGAAAGCAGAACACCAAATGATTATTATGCCTGGTTTTGTTTTTTACCATTGTGAGAAACAGAGCACTGACAGTAATTACTGCCATAATTGTTATACAGTGGAAACCTTGCCTCAGAATTTAAAAAAAAAGGAAAGAAAAAATTCTGTTTTCTAAGTTGGGGTTTTTTTGTTGTCTAACTACCTATCTACTTGCAATACCTATCTCCCTCATTAATATAAAATTTACATTACCTTGATCTGTAGCAGCTATATTTTTAAACCCTAAATATCCTGATTTTTCAAACAGGCTGTGATTTTTCAGCACATGTTGCTTTCTCACTTATGGTAAAAATCACAGCAGTTAAAATTTAAATGACAAACAGAAGCAACAGTGCTCCAAAATGCCATTGGAGAATATTCTGCTTAGTTCTGAATAGGTCTTAATTTTGGACTTGTTTAATAATTGTTCGGCTTCCTTTTACATACTTTAGTGACATTTTGTTTATACATTTATTTGATGACTTGTCAAACAGTCATAGAAGGTTCTTCATTCATCCATTACTTATTGCTCACACCCAAACTAGAAACATACTTTTAATGAAATTTCACTCATTTCCTCAAATGATAAAATCAGGATTGCACACACTACATGGTTTTCTCCAAAAAAAGCATGTTTTCCTGATTTCTTCATGTTCAGACAAAATTCTTATAAAGGAAAGTGCTCATCGAAACTTCAGTCTGGACAATGTCCCATGAACAACCTTGTGAAATACTGATTATCCACTAGGTCTGAAATGGTTTGAAGCTGGCTCCCTGCCAAGTCTCCAAACCTTACCACAAGAAGTCGTCCCCCCACAAACCTCACGGAGAAGAGGGAAAAAAACCCCAAGAAAAACCGAAACAAGAGAGAGACAGCTAAAGCAATATATATAAATATATTTATACTTATGTTACAGTTATATACAATTGAAATATATATACAATTTCACAAGGAAAAGGGAAAGGGAAGGGGGAAGTGAAAAAAGGAACAAAACCAAAATAAAAAATATATATATCCCGATCAGTAGCCCAAGATCTAGCAACTAAAAGAATTAGCAAAAGAATATCTTACTACTCTCCTTGGGACAACAGAAAGTCACTCTGGAACGATCGCCGGCAACCTCCGTCTCCCAAGGTTGGCAAGGCCTTACCAGGCCTCACTTCCCAACACAGCAGACTCAACAGCAGGGAACCTGCACCTCCAAGCCGCCGGAAGGAAAGAGAGTGAAGGCCTTTCCTCCTTTCTTCTTATACCCTGGCTTACATAAAAATCATAGGGAATACTGGGTAAATCTGGGCACTTCCTTGGCTACAAACTGGTCACCAAGGAAGGCCTAGACCAAACTACCACAGTGTCGTTGAGGGAAGCCTGGAAGCCCTGTAGACTGATCAGTGTTTGTAGACTCCCAGGTCTGGAATTTGCTGAGCTCTGCAGGTTTCTTTTCCCCTCCTGCCTTGCACTGTATGAAGTCTTATTTGATAGCAAAGCCTGGGTGAAGCATTGCTGGGCTGCTCTCCCAATAAATTATTTCCCAAGGTTCAGGGCATGGGAGAATCAGGCTCACCCTTTATAATTGTTTCTCACTAATTGCTTCTCTAACACACTGTTGTTTTCAGTTCTCAATTTGTCTCTCCCTTTTATAGTGTCTAATTTGCCATTTTTCTTCCTATTCACCAACATGTGATCACAGACATGTTGTTGCCTTGCTGCAAAACAAAATGTTACCTTAAAACAAGGGCTATCTGAGGTGACTCTCACATATCTTTATCTGTAAAGCACATCACGGACTAAGGGGTTCTGCTGCCAGTGCCTGCTATGTTATTAATGCTGCTCTAATTAGGCCAATCAGTTTTAATTAGTATACTGTCATGTAACATTCTCATAAAATACTTTGTGTAAGAAAATTGATCTGGCTTTAATGCTAATTAGTTTGCTAGACTCCCTACCTTATAAATGGGAATTGATTGCTTCCCTTCAACCTCTTCTTTCCTATTCAGTAATTCTCCTATAAATTCTGTTTCTCTTGGTTTTTCTCACATGATTATTTTTTTTGGGTGTCCCTGTGTCTCCCTCAATTAATTCTGACCATAACCCCATCTCTAGTGAAACCTGAAAAGAACAGGGCTTTATCACTTGACAGAGAGAGCCTTCCTCAGTTAATTTTTTTTCCTCTCAGGAATTTGCCAGATTAGAGACCCGTAATCCTAAGGACTGTCTCATAGCTAAAGCTGACAGGGTTAGGCCCAGGTCAGCCCACTCATAAATCACAGCCAGTAATGCTGTGCCTGGAATTGAAGATTTATAAAGACAGTAGCATTAGCATTACAAAAGAAGTATTTTATTGGGTTTCACATGGGATTTGTTTACTGCTAGTAAACTGCAGAAGAGTGTAACAATGAGGTTAATAAATGGGAAAGCGAGCAACAGATAAATCAACTACTCCTGGCTGCTCTTAAAAGCTCCTTAAAATTGGGATTAATTTGGCTAATTGTGAACACAACAATAATGTGTAAAAAGTCTGAAAATTCCAGCTCTGTAAATTTACAGCGTTGTTCTGGTTCAGTTATGCTGTCTGGTTTTTAATAGAAAGTGAATTAATAGGCAGAGACAGAGCTGACTGCTAAAATTTTGCTCTCTTTTGTTCTTCCTTTCAGTAATAAGGGACAAGTTACTGTATTTAAAGGGTGACTAAGATGGAGACTGCCTTTTTACAAGGAGCCACAGGGAAAACATGAGGAGTACATGTAAAAGTTACTACTGGTGAGATTCCAATTATAAAAGGAAAATTTTTCCCAATGAAAACAAACACCAATTGGAATAATCTCCCGGCCGTATTCCACTGTTGGACACTTTTAAGACAGCTGGACAGGGGGCTGGGCCTTCTTTTTCAGACCAGGAAAGAATGGACCAGGTGATCCTTAGGTCCCCTTCTAGCCTGGTATTCTATGAATATAATTTATTTGGGATATTTAAAAGATAAAAACCAAAACCAAACCACAAACAAACAAACAAGAAAAACTAACCAAAAAAAATCAAAGCCCTGAAGGATTAAATTAAAATTTTTTCTTTTTCATTTGCCTTGATGTTGTTTTGACACGTCATGACTCACGTCTTTTCCTGGACAGTTCAATATTTGTTTCTGCTGTTGCAATACAGATGATGGGAATGAAGCAGGAGAAGAATCTCTCTTATTGAGCTATCAGTCATTGTCCATTTTTGCTTTTAGTGACATTAGTCATGTTCAAAGGTGAAGTTTTTCTCCTACTTCTTAATAAAATAAAAATTAAAAGGCTGCTATAATTTGATGAATGTATCTGTGTCAAAGAAATACTCAGAGACATTATGTATGATGTCAAATTACATTTTGGTGCAATTTATTAATTTAGGGAACAGATACTTCCTTAGTATTCAGCTAATTCTTGTTTTATTAGGAGTAATTTTTTTTTCTTTTTAACCTGTGGCTACCTGCTAAGAAATGTTACAGATGTTTTAAGCTCTTAGAAATAATGTCAAATATCAGTGTATGCGTGAATTTGTGTTTCCTAACTTGGCTTCCTGAAATGTTTTCATCTATTTAAAAAGAAGGAATTCTTAATTTACTTTTAGTAGAGATACTTCTAAAATGTGTGCTACCTGGCAGCTGAAAATAGAGGAGCCATTTGAACTTGGATAAAATAGATTATTATAATTTTTAGTAACAGACTGGGTCATGAGAGTATGTCTTTACTAATTGCTACCTGATAAGCATCATGTTTCTGTTCATGTTCTAACAAAATTGCTGAAGGAGCAATTAGGATTATACCTTGTTAGTGTACGGTGTGTCCAAACCAGTTTTTTACTGAGATGATTTGGTTACATCAAAGTCTTGATTTCCCTCCCATCAGGACACATCTTAATTTCCTACAAGGTCCGAGGAGTGGTTGTCAATTCCCAGCATACTCCTCCTCTGGATGTTAAAATCCCTAAGGGAGATGTTGAAAATATCTGTTTTATATCAGTCTGCAAATTAAGCAGTGACACTAAGGATGAGAGATATAATGTCTCCAGTTGTAAAATGGAAGTGCTACACTGAGAATCTCCTTATTCATTTCAGTTTATGACTAAAGTTTCCCACACCTGTTTTGTCCCACAGGAAAAGCCTAAATTCTCTAACCAAATCTCTAAATACTGACAAATTTGCCAAAACAGACACATACATGAAACTTCTAAGCAATTATCTTCAGCTTCTAATGTTAAACTTATCCATATTTTGACATAGATGAAGTCTTGGCTCCTTAATAAGCTTTATTTCTAAACCTTTGAATATAGGTTATTTTAAGGACATCTCTTTACTTCTTGTAGATCTTGTGAGATATGATTAAAACAGGTCGAGTTTTTCCAAGTGTTGATAAACTTAACTCTTCTATGTCTATGAAAAACACAGTATTAAACTTGGGCACTGCTGTGAGGTAACTGTCAGGAAATTTTGATTTTCACCACAGGATATCATTAAAAATATTTCCCCTGCTGTGCCACATGAGGTTTAATTAAATATTTGTTCAAACGGCCTGAGTTTCCCCAAATGAAAGGATGTGATGTTAATATATTAGTATAATTTGGATGCATGAACCCCTTAAATTTTCCAGTTATCAGAAGTCAAAAAAGAATCAGCCTTTTGAGGCATTTTTTGTCTGGTTTGGAGCTCTGTGTCATGGACCCATCTCCCATCACCAGGGAATAAGATTGTTCTCTTAATGGCCTTTCTCTTCTCTTAATCCAGAAGGATTTTCATTGTGTGACCCTGTAGTGTCACTAACAAATTTTTTCCCCACATACACCACATACCCATGAGATTCACCATGTAGGGCCAAAGTCATGGATTCATGTTATCTCTCACTCAAAAAGAGTAAAATAAGAAAGTACTGGCCAGCCTACAGATGCATTCAAATATATATGTTTAAAATATAAATATATGCCCACAAATAATTTTAAAATAAAAATAAATCAGGAGGCTTCAGGAATTGTTTTGTTTTGGTTTTGGTTTTGTAATAGAAAAATACTGTGCTGCTATTCTGAATTTTAAGGTGCTCAGAGCTGATGAGGTTTGTGGTTGGTGGTGCAATGTTTTAATTTGCTTTAGTGTGTGATTTTTCATAAGTATTTTATTTGAAAATGTGTCTTACAGCAAAACAAGTTAATTTCTCCCTTGCAATAATGTACACTTTTGTTTGTTTGTTTTTTTTTTTCTCTAAAACGTCTTATTCACAAAGATCCTTTTAAAACAAGGAATGAACTCATGATGAAGTGAAATGGAGATTTTATTGATCCTAAGGCATGTTTGCTTAGAACAAGGCAGAAGAATAAGAAGAGAAAAAGAAAAAAAAAGACACTTGGGCAAATGTTCAACAATACTGATGCTGCAACAAAAATGTGACTGATTCTTTGAATATAGATTTAGATTGAGGAGGATATTAAATTCTGTTAGCTTGAAAATAACCCGAGTGTCAAGTGCCTAAGGCTCCCTTTAGCTGTCTCCTTATCAGTGTTTTATATATAGGTTTTTCTGTGTATACTCCCCAAAATCTAACTAATCTGTCTAATGTATATAGCAAAAATTACACTGTCAGCTGGCAAAAAATGTTGTGTCTCCTGAGTGAAATGTCATTAAGGGGTCACATTTAGAGTTATGATATAGTTGTGAACTATGATTTTTCAAAGCGTGAAAGATCTTGTACAGAATCTTAACAGAACAGCTGAGTGCAAATTAATTTTCTTCATTTGTGATGTCTGGCTGGGTGACTGCTGATGTCATAATTCTACCATTCAATCAAGTATTTATGTTTTTAGATCAAACAAGGAATAGAGAAGAACAATCACACATTTGGGAATTCAGATTGGTCCTTGGATATGTTAATGCTGGAGGGGAAAGGGCAGAGGCTCTTCCATGCCTAGAGCTAATGCACTGCCCAGAGGCTGAATCCATCAGCAGCCTGTGCCAGGGCGCTGCATGTGCCCAAGAAAGGCATGAGAATGTCAATTTTATAAAAGAAAGAAAGAGGAGGCAAAAGAAAATTGGTTTAAAACTAGCATCTGAAGAAATTGGAATAAGATGACTGCTTCATTCTGGAGAAAATTGGGTTGTAGACTCTCCAACTGCAGGAGGGAGCTGAGTCACTCAAAATGGAGGAGAGCAGCTTACAGAAGAAAGGGGCAAGTGGGATTGAATTGCCGCTTTGGAAAGTGCAAAACATTTGTGTTGTTACTGCAGCAGGGAGGCCAGGGAGCAAGCACATTGCTCTGCTCTGTTGCTGATTTTATGTCATCTTTTTTTTTCAATAAGGAAGGATTTGCTGTTAGGAGCAGTATCAGTAGTTGCTTTAGCTGACACATAAAATGTCCTTTTTTTTTTTTCCAGTGTTGATACAAGATGAGCTGGGCTAGAGGTAATTCTGATAAAGGCCTTGAGAAAAGGAAATGCGAAACTTTGGAGGCACTTTGAGTCCATATCTTGCTGGGAACTGACCTCCAGGCTTTGGGGAAATTGTACTGTACAGATGGCATTTTCCATCTGAAACCACCTATTGTGGAGGCAAGAATCTGGAGACATGCTCTGTAGCTTCCAGCTCATGCCTGAAATCAGTTAATCTCTCTTCTTGGTTTTCCAGAGTGTGAAGAATTTATATTTAGTAAGTTTAGACAGACACTGATTTAATGAGGGAGAATCTTAGGTTGTGACTCTATGCTACAGAATTTTTTTTCTCATGGTTTTAGTATATTTTATTTCCTTCTCCTGGCAGCATATTCTGGTCTCTAGGAAGTAACATGGCCGAGGTCAATCAAGTTAGATTCTTGTTGGCTGTCTTATTGAATATATTAAAAAAATATCTTTGATCGAAACAAAAAAATCCTGCCTAAAGTGTTGTTTTTCAGCCTGGGTTTTTTAATTAACCTCGTATAAAACAGGTTGTAGCAGTGAAAGTCAGGAGGTGATAAAGTGCTGAACAGGGACAGGAATAAGTAGCCAGGACACATTAGTCTTAATTAAAGCTAATTAATGCTTAAAAGTAGTATTTTTACAATAGCTCCTATGTAATGAAACATCAGTCTCAAAGGTCACATTTTTGAACAGCTGAAAAAGTTCCAGTGTAACAATGGGGGTTAGTTTAGGTAACTGCATTGCTTCATAAAAACAGAAAACTCTCTTTTGAAGAGGTAACTCAGTATTCTTGAATGACAACTGGCATTAAAGATCTTTTTTTCACTCCATCATGGGATCCACTGAACTGAGGTGGTATGATAGTGATGCAGTGGCATGATGTGTGGCAAATGGGTCACTGGAAGTTTCTGTAACTTTGACTGTGAACTGACTGAAGAAGATTTTACTCTCAAATCCTGCATGTCCAGGACCTTCCATGAACACTGAGCTCACTCAGTTGTACAGCTCAGTGAACCTCAGACCAACAGCATTCTCTGAGCATGTTCAAAATTCTCTCCAGGTCTCTAGTCAGACTGAGAAAGTGAGCAGAGTGGCACTTTTTTCTCCATGCTTGCCTAATTTACTCTCATCCAGCATGCCCTTTTTTTATTCATATCCCTTTCATTGTACATTCTGAGTTTATTCAATTCAGTTTTTATTTAATCAGGTGCACTAACCCTTGGAGGTTTTTCTTTTTGCATCAAGGTAGTCTCACATTGAAATCAGCTTTCATTGAATTTGACATTTGTTGAATGTTAGAACTAAAAATTACTGAAATCCTGGTATAATTATTTAATTATTTTAGCTAAAAATTCATGTGTCACTTTTGTCATTGTATTTAGGGCATGGATGTATAACCAATAGTTAACTGGATTCCTGTATATTTGTATTTTACAGTAAGGAAAAAACTCAAAATTTTCATATATATTGTATAGTTCTTCCCCAATACAGATACATTTAAATGTTTGTTACAGGCCTGCTGACTGCCATTAGTCCCAAAAATGATAAATGTCCAGAGGTAGTGGCAATAAAATGCCAAAGTATAAAGGAAATTATTCTTAAGAAAACATGTTTGGGAGAGTAGAATAAACTGTGTCCTCGTGTTTATAATTGGAAAAAGAGGCTGCATGTATTATTACTTTAAAATACGATCTTTGTTTTAATATTTGCCAGAAGATCTGTGGTTTTGCTACCTACCGAGATAGAACACTAAAAACAACTCTGTTATCAATGAGTGAAGTTATTTCTTACTATACATTTTCCATAGGCCAGTGAGAGGTACTCATGTGAGAGGTGCAGTACAAAACCATACCTATGTGCCATGATATACACGGCTATGTATAAAGAGAGGAAAAGTGAGAGCACCTAGACTAAAACATGTGTGATGAGGCTCACATTCCTTTCAGCTGCATTGTAATGTGAATTAGGCCTTTTGACATGGCCTCACAGCTTTTCTGATGTCTAAAATAGCACCACTTTAGTGCTTCACATGTGGCCATCATTAGACATGAAAGAATTCTGTGAACTTCACTGGTGTCATCTCCCCACCCTCTTTATACCTTTGACTTGCTGAAATAAAAGTATGTACACCTTAATTTTTTTCATATGTTCCTTTCTAGGTCATCTTGCAAAAGGGAGTCTCAAAGCCTGGGAAGGGTTCCACTGCAGATGGTCAGTGTATAAGGCCAGGGAGAATTGTTCCTTAGCCAGGGAGAAGGCTTCAGATTTTACAGTGAGATTGGGATTCATGAACATCCAAGTGTAGCTCACACTCCTCTCCAGCTCCAGGACTGTGGCGGCGGGAAATGAGATGCACCCTTTGGTTGCAGAACTGCCGTGAATATGGATTTTCTCAACATATCAGATAAAACTGATAGCTTCTTGCTTCAACTTTCTTACGTTTGAGCAAAAAAGCCTAAAAATCCTGTTGTTTGGCACTGCTGGGTAAGGTTTATCTCTTTTCCTCATACGAGGGAGATCCCCTATTATTAAAGTGTTTGCTTTACTTTATATATCTCTCTATTTCCCTCCGCCATCTTTAGATTTATGAGGCATTGTAAGCTTTTCTGACTGCTTCTGAAAAGGATTCCTGGCCGCTGTTGCTCACAGCATCCAACGCATCACTCATTTCACAATGTCCCCTTTCTTTCATTAGATGGTACTCTTCATTTTTTGTACATCCCTCACACTTCACTACAGTAATTTGAAGGATTTTGCATTCCAGTCTCAAGCAAGAGAAAAATATTTTATTTGTTGTTGTTTTGAGATGTGGGTTCAATCAGTTCTGGTCCTCTTTTCTTTGTCACCACAACATGAAAAATAGTGAAAGGCACCTGCACATTAAAATCTAAGCTAACTTACAGCTTCCGTATTTTAGAATAGTCGATTTTTACCTTGAAAAAGGAGGACAGACTAACTGACCTAATGATGTCCCTTGTGGTACTGTTTTCTTGCTTCTGTGATTACCTGAATGTTCATGGGGAAAAATGCATTTTATTTTTGTATAAGATGTTTGGCATTCAGCAATTTTTTTTTCATATTCTTCGCAGTTTAGCCAAATGACATCTATTTTGTTTCAAGGTGAAGGTTTTCCTTTGATGTAAGCTTTGATTGTGAGGCACTGGCGTTTCAGCAATGCCAAATAATAGTGGAAAATAGGTGCATTTAAAATATTACTTACGTAGAGACAATCTGCTCAAAAAAACCCAGTATTTTTTCTTGAGAAAAACAGAGCAGATATTTTATTTGTGCATTGGGCTCCTCTCTGTCTAGATCTGGGAAGACCACAGCCTTTTCTGTGTCAACCTTGTGTGGGAGGTGGGATACCTCCAGAGAGATACAGGTCTTGTAATACTCTAAAATATTAAATATTTCTCCTGATCTCCAAGTTAGAAACCAGATAATATTAGCTTGCATTTTTGTTTGAAGCAGTCACGTAATTTTTCTCTTCAGTCTCTTGGGTGTGACTGGATTTCTCAGCTTGGTGTATCCTTTCTCTAGGACAAATGACATTTGCAGTGGTGGGTGAAAGTCCAATCTAACTGAGTTTCTGATCCGCACCAATGGCCTGAGGAGTGGATGCAAGAAATTGGTCATGACTTAACCCTGATGACTCCATGTCACGGGGTAGTTGTCATAGTTGTTAGGTTTGGCCAATATAGAAAAGCACACACATACACATACACACACTGCACAAAAAGTTGAGACAAGTGCTGTCTGCGGCCTCCGCACAGCAGCATCATTAGGAAAGCTAGCCCATATTTTTTCACACGCTTTTTTGTAAATAATATAATTTCTACAGAATACTATTATCATGCACCTGCACCATGGACATAGCCAACATTTTTGTCCTTGCACATCTCTATCCTCCCTAAATCTACTTATCATAATAATATAATAATAATGGCCAGTCTTCGCAAGCGAAGATTTGGGAAAGGTCATTAACCCTTCGAGCCTGCGCAGTGGATTTTTTAGGTGAGACACAGCGTGCGCTGAACTGAGCCCACCCTTTAATCCTAAGGTTCATCTGCCGGGGCCGAGCAAGCTTGGACAGTGGCAGTGAGGTCCCCAGGACGTAGGTTTGTTTAGAGTGACCTTCTCTTAGATGGATGGCCTTACAGGGCTGACGAGTTCCATCTGCCCGGGGGGCTGGGAATTGAACCCGGGCTGCAGCGGTGAGAGTCCTGCACCCTAACAAGGATAAGTAGGATCTGTGCAGATCTTCACACTGTGGTCCACTGTAAGGCCAAAGAAATAGAGGAAGAAGAGGAATAGCTGTTCTAAGATTTGACGGTGCTAATTTCATTCATATTCCTGAGACTAATGACCTTGTGAAGGTTGCCTGTGTTTTTATTTGGGTGACTGTTTGATACTAAATGAGCCAGTAAAACTCCTTTCTTTCAGGGAGCCTTTGTAAGCTCTATTAATCCTGCTTTTAGAAACAGAAATTTCTAAAGCTTCCAGGCCATATGTTAGCTTACAACCTCATTTGTTATCAGTCACATCAGGTCTACTTAATATTCTTTTACTATGTGGCACATATGTGCACACTGCTATTGCTGGAAAGATGAGATGGTATTATGTGCCAACCGTGCTTCATTTTTATAGGAGATCTCTAACTGTTGTGCAGTGACCAGTGTACGAGGAAGTTTAGACTTAAAATCATGTATCCGTGAAGTTTAATTGAAATCTTTTCCTCCATATGCAGATTTACCAGGAATTTTGTTTGGTGGACATGGTTGTATTATATTTCCATTAAGAAGGAGTTGCTGAGTCAAACATTTCTGAGATTTTTGTAATTAGATTAATCTTATGCCATAATTAATCTGCCAGTTTTTTGCAGATATCACACTAATGTTTCTGAGATATGTTTCGTTAATCTGTTGCTGAATCACATTCTTACACACTTCCAGGTGTGCTGCTGCACTGATGCTTTTAATTTGCATTTTATTTCCTGTGCTCCAGAATGATCATTTTGCTTTCATCAGCACTTATGGGTAATTTAATACATGAGAAATAAATTTGTTAAGATCAAAGCACTAAGTGTGGTGCTTGTTCCATGCCTTCATTTCTATGGCAGTTAAAACCTTTAGGTTAAACATATGTTGACATAACTTCTGGGTGTATCTTCTGGAGGAAAATGATGTCTTTCCCTTATTGGTAGGTTTGCAATATATTTCGTTTCTCTGTACCTGAGAAGTAGAAAATTAAGACAATGGTGTTTACAATGAGTAAAGGTCCTAGGAGGTGACATAGGAAGCAGCTATGGAAAAGGATCCTGTCCCTTTGCTATATAATCTTAAAACTAGCTTGTCTTCATAGTGCAGTATGTCTAGTTTAACTGGATGATTATTAACTAGATGATCATTAACTAGTGATGCTACTTAAGGTAGAAAGCACTAGAATAAGCAGAAAAGGAAGCAAAATTGCATAACTGAAACACGGATAAAAGTTAGATGGGATGCAGCAAAAACACAATGTTCTTGTGCCAGTATTATAATACTGAAAATTGAAAGTGTCTCTGTTTTGCCCTCCTGCATTGAATGCTGACTTGTGAATGAAGGTGAATTAAACTCTACTACATGCAAGGAGTTCCTCTTTCCCAGCTATTTGTCATATGCTTGATGCAGTTGTTCTTGCTGAAGAAGTGGCTACTTAAAGGAGGTGTTGGATTTTGCTCCTGAGACTAATCCAGGTGTTTGAAAGTCAGAAATTTTGGCTACTTGAGAGTTGATGGCCATATTGAAAGCTATATGATTTTGGATGTCCTGGAAAAATAATTTAGTGAAAGACAGGTCCAGAGCAATGGCACTGTGTATGAGCAGTCAGCTGGGAAAAAGAGAGCCTGGTTATGGGAATTATAAATGCAAACAACTGTTTGACTTGGGGAGAACCAAATGAGCTAAAAAAAACAGGCCAGAAATAAATGGTCAGAAACAAAGGGAGCCAGTTTGGACTTGATAAGAGTTTTGTCTTCAGCAAACAACCTTAAGATCATGGTCCCAAAAGAGAGAAAATAATACAAAGGTAAAATCTAAACCAGGAGAGCCACTCATCCATTTTGAATGGATAGCAAACTGCTGTAGCTGCCTGGGGAGGAGAGAAGATAAAAAGGAGCCCCTGGGGAGGTTCAGTATCTTGGCTGCCAAGGGCAAAACAGAGGTAGCTGTTCTCTTGATACAACAGATGAGGTTCCTACTGCACACAGAGCAAATGAACCTAACAAAGACACAGGCCTGTAGATAAGAGGGAGAGCTGCCAGGACAATGAAAGAAGGCAGCTATTGGCTGTGGTACAGGTTTCCTTTTGATTGTCATGGAAAAACATCCCCTGACTGGCATGGAACATAAGTCCTTTCTGTGAAGACATTGACACATTTGCTGGAAAACTTGGAGAGCTGAGTGCTATCCATACTTACCAGCTGTGCTTCAAAGGGAGCAGTGCCATGTCTTTTACATAAGACTGCCCAGTGCCCAGGTTGGTATTAGGAGGGAAGATATTTTGTCTTTGGCTGGTGCTGAACAAGGTTTGAGAGGCCTTGGACAAATTGAACATTATTTGAAACGGTGCCTTCATCTGCTGGCTGCTGCTCCTCATGTCTGCTTCTCTTGTGTTCATTGAAGTCCATCTTATAAACTTCTTGCCAGTGGTCATAATTTGCCCTTTCCTGTTTGTGGTTTGTTACTGTATCAGGCTGGAGCAGTTGAATACCTGCAGTGAGATTTTATAAACACTGCAATTCAGTTACAAAAGTCATAACTGGTGACATCCCTCACAGTCAAGTTCTTGGAAAATATTTTTAATCCAATTTAATTGAATTAGCAATATGTACACAAAGCAGCAGGTGATCTGCTGGCTGTAAGGGGGTATTGATTTGCTGCTTCTCAGGTTCACATGGACCTCCTGAGGTTCCTTTCAACCTGATTGAAGGAGCCTTTCTGTCTCCACAAAGCTCCATTCAGTAGAGCATGTTGGCTCCGCTGCAGGCTAAGTACTGCAAAAGACTGTCTCCATTCTTGTCCATTGAGGGTTTGGATTTATTGGGAAGCTGTTTGCCTGGCTTTTGCAGCACAGATAGTGTTTTTCTGAAGTGAGGATGTCTTGTTATGGATGACATAGAACCAACTGGGGTGATCTTTAGTTCTCTGGCACCAGGGGAGTTCCATATTGATGCAGACCTGTCTCCTCAGAACAAGCCAGCATCAGCTCTCAGTTGCAGACTTTGGTTGACATGGGTAGTTGTCAGTGTCTATGAAGGCTGAGGTCAGAACAATATCAGCAAAACCAGAGCTTTGTATTTGCCAGTGCCAACTGAAAAGCTAGAGAATAATTGACTTAGGAACACCATTAATGCTCAGTTCTCTTACAGCTTATTTCTGGGTTCAGCTTTGTGACTGGAAGGATTTAATGGCATAACTATGTCAGCTGGTAGATTTTAAATTTTTTTTTGTAACTAGCTGACTTAACTACGTCAGTAAAAGCCATAAATGCAGCTGCAGGTAAAAACATAGAAAACATGCATTCTACTGTAATAGCTCATTTCACTTTCTATATTACCTTGTGTTGATGTAGGAGTATTTGCATCAATTTGAGTTTGCCCTATTGGAGGGCAGCAGAAGAGACAAGCAGGAATATTGCTTTAACTCTGATAGCTTAAAGTCAATCTTCCTCCTTATCCCTCCAACTATCTCATCTTCCTAAAAGCAATACTGCCTGTACTGAATTAGAAACTCATCAGCATAGCCACATTAAAACCAAACCCAAACAGCTGGCGAATTGATTATTTTTTGGGGCATCTCCCACTCCCACCAAGTTGAGCAACTCCTATAACTCATCCTGCTGACAAGTCTTGTTGACCTCGTTTAGGAAACATAAACCAATTTCACCCAAGCACTGCCAAAGGACTTACCAAATAACCTGCTAGTAACATCTACCTGGAATTAAATATGGTGGTAAAGACAAAAAAGCTGTACAAATGCTACAAAAGCCTGATGGCAAAACCAGCATAAAGCCCTTGAATAATTGCTTCTGTGCTGAGTATTTGTTCTATAAAAAATGTTGAGCACATGTGCTTGCAGCCACACAAATACTCACAATCTTATCCAGTAGGATGATATGAACACAAACCAAGCCCCCACATGAGTGCAGAGCAGGTGAAGATCATTACAACAGCCTGAATCATTTGTGCTGCCTTCCTTTATAAGGAACACAAAGGCAATTAATCCATTCAGGCTGCTGGTGGACACCAGCAGAGAGAAAGGTAACAGCATAATCTGTTAGGGCCTTGGTATGGCAGATGGTGGGTTGTGTTTCCACCTGCCAAGACTGCCAAGTCCTGAGTGAGTCCAGATTTCAGGCTTCAGTCTCTGCCACTGGCAGCAAAGGAAGATGTTTGCCAAGGGCAAAACACTGTGCCAAGAGCATCTCTTATATGTCTGTCGTTAAAGCTCCTGGGTGTTACGAGACAAACATTGTATGGCAAATATTGAATGGAATATAGAAATTTTTTTAAGTAATTGTTTAGCATTTACAATCATTGCTTTTCTCTCCCTTGAAAACAAAACAAACAAAAAAATCACCACAACAAAACCTCAATTACAGAAAACAAACAAAGCAAAGAAACCTGAGAAGTTTCCTTAGGAGACTTAGTTGCCAAACTGAAGCAAGAATATTGGGGCTGTGCTTGGCTGGAAACAGCTTGCTTGCTTGGATCAGAGGATGAGCAGGAAAAGAAGGAAGTGAGGTAATTCCATACAGTTGTACTTCTATCTGAGCAGGTGATCTAGATGTGTATGACATTTAAAATCCATGTTGCTGTATTTCCCTGATAACTTGTTCCAGGAATTGGATGCTGTTCTTGATGGTTGATGTTTGTGCATTGACTGTACTCTGTTGTGCCACCTTGTGTCTTTAAGAGACCCAGAGCCTTGACACAGTTCAGCCAGAAGAGTCTTGGCTTTATCAGAATTACAGAGAATTTGCTCTGGATATGTCTGTCCCTACAGTCTTGACTTCTGTAAAGTAGACCTAATGCAGGACCCTGTTTTTCTGAGAACAGAAAGCAGAGCTCAAGTATTGATATTGTATTAATATGATACTTAACATAAACCCATTTCCATTTGGGTTTTGTTATTCCTGGACCTAGTTTCTATGAGTAGAATCTTGTTTGCTTTCCACATCTCAGTGGCTGTGAAAAGTTTGAATCAAGTCATCACCCTTTTAACAAAATCTACCACAAAACAATATCCAAAATGTAAAGTCAGTACTGGAAGCAAACATGTACACACACCCCACCTCCAGACCTTGGTATTGCTTAGGGTTAATTATATTAACATATGAGCAATAATTGATTCCCACTTCACTCAAGATAAAAAACATGCGTGGCCTTTTAAATAACAGTGTATCACTTCCATCACTCACCTGAAAAATGGGATGCCTCATTCCAGACTGTCCAGGCCAAACGACATGAAAACCTTCCTGTTTCATTTATCTTGCTTTAATTACTTCATATATTTAGCATGCAGGTGGCTTTTATATTGCTCAGAAGATTTGGATTTGTGGCAGCAGGGGTGGGAGGGCAGGCTGTGCTGTGAGATTTCAAGCACAGACTGGAGTTAAGTAGAAAGATTAGTAGTGGCTCTCATACTCAGCTGGGATGTTGGAAGTGGAAACCAGGGAGAGGACAGGTGTATTTCTGGCTTCAGGAGGGTGTCCCAACCACTGGGCTACTGGAATGGTGAAGGGAAGAGAAGATGATGAGGGATTTGCAACTTGCTGTCTGTCCTGTAGAGACTGTTGGTAAATAAAAGGCTTGCAAATAATTTTGATCCAAAGAGAGAAATTTGAGAGTAAGCAACAACAACAACAACAAAGTAAACACCATATAAATACCTCAAAAAATCTTTTCTTCAGTCTCTTGCTTGGAGAATGAAGGTGATAGGGCCTTTGTGGAAGTACTGAAGGGATACATCTCTATCTCCAGAACAATTCTGTCACAGTAGAAAGCAGTGCTAGAGTTAAACTTTCACAGAGACATTTGCCTCCTGTTTTCCTTCCAGACAGTCAATGCTTGTTGATCCACTTCTGTTGGCACCCTGTTTTAATGATCCCTGGAGCAGTAGAAGAGTAGCCATATGGCTTGCAGTAGCTTGAATTTCAGCATAAAATTGAAAAAGAGAGACTAATTTCCTTTTTTCTTTTTTTCCTAGATAATGCTTTGAACCCTTTTTTTACACGATCTAAGAAAAAAGTATGGAAGCTCCCAGGCAGTTTCAACACTGTGAAACACCATCTTGAGAGAGGTCAGCACAGGAGGTGTGCCTGGAGGACAGTCCCTTACAGCTGCCCCTGGAGAAGCCTCGATGGGTAGCAAAGCAGATGGCTCAGCTCTGTCAAAGAAAGTCTCCTAAAAACACCAGATTATTGAGGCAATGAGGTTCTGGCTTGCTAACTACATCTGATACGCTGATGGGCATGGCTCTCTTTCAGCCCTGCCCTTTCTGCAAGACAAAATAGAATTTTAATCCTCCCAAGAAAATTTTATAGTGGAAGATTGTGAAAATGAGGACAGCAACACAGATGGATGTTTGCTAATAACTGTTTGGATTTGGCAATGTAGGAGGGCTTTTCTAGCTTTACAGTCCCTTAGTATTTGTAAAATTACTTTATATAAAAAGAAAAAAAAAACAACGCCCTGTGGGTGGTATGCAGGGGTTGTGCTAAAAATGAATAATTCAAAATAATGAATAATTAACCCCCAATTTTCCAGTAGGTAATTTAAATTTCAGGTGTGCACTAAAAAAATGTGAAAATATTACAATTTGGGATTGCAATTTGTGTTCTTCAAGTGAGTCCAAATCTGAACTGGCACTATGTGCCACTAAGAACAGCAAATCTCAAAACAGTATGAATATGTGCATTGGACTTAATGGACTTTCTTTTCAAAGAAGACAAAGTGACTTTAAAATGGGAACTGCAAGTACACTCTACCTCCTGGGAAAACAACTCTTACTTTCCCTTTCTATAAAGGTCATTGCAAATTGGGAAGTTTAATTCCTGTCCTGCATGTTTTGTGCCACCAGTCATGGTCCCTGGCTGATAAATAAGAAAAGTGAATTAGTTCTTGAAGAGAGGGAGTGAACAGTATAAAATTGGCCAGGTGTTTCTCAGGAGGAGAAGGCTGCAGTGGGCTTTTTATCTATTTTTAAGTAGATATATTTCTAAGCTACTCGTTACTTTAGTACAAAGAATGACAAATCATATATTCAGTGAGGGATTAAAGGGATGACACAGGAAAAGAGAGCCTAGATGCAGGATTGCCATTTCTGGGTTAATGGATTACCTGAAAACACAGGCTGCTAAGTTTGGATGTAGCACCTCAAGAAATAAAATTGTTGTTGCCCAAATGAAGTGAATGAGTCTGATTTGTTTCTACAGCTCAAGCACAATAGTACCTGATTTTGCATCAAAAAGTCAGAAACGAATGAAATTAATATAAAAGATCCATGTTTGCAAGTTATCAACTAAGAAAAGTGGAAGAGAGAGACAGTGTCATTGTAAAGAAAATGGTGTTCAGAAATCTCCATCATACATGAACAACAGATTTTCTTTCAGAAACTCTAGTCCTGCATGCAGTATTCGTTTGGGAAGGAGAGTATCTGAGAAGTTGCTACAATGTCTGTGTGCTAGAGAGCAGTAAGTGAAGCTTTAGTATGTTTTCTACTACTGCTGTTTGCTTTTACACGTAGCATTACACATGGCATTTTTTTTTCTTCCTGTAGTGTGAACTTCATATATTATAAACAGAAACATGCATGAGTAAGAGGGTTTGTGAAGAGAAGAAGTAAGAATTTACTTGTGTAATGATGTTTAGGTAAAAGATACTTTATTGTTAGTTGTTGTTTCGGGTTTTTTATTAATTCTTATTTTTTTCATTGCAGTGATAGCAGCTATCTTGTCTTCTAACAAGAAGAAATCCTCCAGCACAGGGCAGAGTTATCACTCCTTTCTGAATTTAAAAGCTCATAAGCTGTATTATGTTTGTTACATGTAGTGTTGCTTTGGGATTTATTTCTGGGATATAACCTCAGTTATATTTGCCCTATAGGAGTACTTTCACTGAGGTGCCCCTTTATGTTTCAGCTACAGAGATCAAAAGATTTACTGGAATTTATGTGCCACTTCCATGTCTTTCTTCTCAATGTCTCACAAACAGGAGAGGAATGTGGGAAGTGTCTGTGTCTTAGAGATCTGTAGTGAATGAGAATCTGAGTTAATACTGATACACATAAAGAACAACTAAAACACAAGGAGAAAGAATAACTCATCTTCTATTCTCTACTTTATAATTTGCTTATTAAGTAGATATGCCTCCAGCTATATTTCCCTTTTCTCACAACTAAGAATTGTAGGAGAACTCGCACAGTTCTGTCTCCCTAAAGTTTCTAAACTTACCTGTCTAAAATAGCAGGTCAGGATTGTAAAAGAATAGGATTTTGAATGGAATTCTGAATGAAACTGAAGGGAAATTTCTGAAGAAACATGATTCATGCTTAATTTTTTTTTTTTTTACGTTTATCTTGAATTAAAGGCCAGGTTTCAGAATGTTTTTACACTAGGTTGAAAAAATTGATGAGAACTACATTTGAAATGATATTTTCTGTTAGTTTCAGTTCTTTATTATTTTCTTTGCTTTATTAATGTCTGCAAGTTAAAAGAAGTTATAGGTCAGGCTTAGAATAAAACGGGATGTTGTCTATATAAAAAAAATTTATTTCTTCAGTATGTCTCCCATTTGTCTTACAGTGACAGATTGGTTTAGAAGACCATTTCCCAGAAGGAGTCAAGGAGTCCTTTCCATAGTTATGACTCAATAAACTATGATGGTATCAACTTAAGTTCTTTTCTCAGAAGCCAAATTGAAGACTCAAAAAGGCACAAGCCTGAGCTTTTCAGGGATACACTGACCACAAATCTGAGGTCTTCCTCTGCTTTGAAGAGTTAAAAGCAGGGAGCTTTCACAGTGTGGTTCATCTGTCCTGGGTTCCCTGGTGGTCTGGTGGTTAGGATGCGGCGCTCTCACCGCCGCGGCCCGGGTTCGATTCCCGGTCAGGGAACCCCTCCGGGCAGATGGAGCTCGTCAGCCCTGTAAGGCCATCCATCTAAGAGAAGGTCACTCTAAACAAACCTACGTCCTGAGGACCTCGCTGCCACCATCCAAGCTCGCTCGGCCCCGGCAGATGAACCTTAGGATTAAAGGGTGGGCTCAGTTCAGCGCACGCTGTGTCTCACCTAAAAAATCCACTGCGCAGGCTCGAAGGGTAAAGACCTTTCCCAAATCTTAGTTCGCGAAGACTGGCCATGAATCATCTGTCCTGTACAGGCTGATAAGGAATAGTTGAGCTTTATTCTGTTGTTGTCTGGAGTGAAAATTGATCTCTGTGTTGGAGAAATGTACATAAAGCAATAATGATTTTTGTGAGCGTTCAGCTCAATGCTCTCTCCAAGTGGTTTCCTAAGGAAGGCTTTATTTCCTTTATTCTTTTCCTTGCTTTTCAAGGAAAGAAAGTCTCCAGGCCTTCACACTGTGAATCCCCAGATTCCCTTCTCTGTGTGCTGGAGAAGGGACCATATCCCCATCTCACTTATGAAGGACCCATGCCTTGTGCTCCTCCAAACCTTTCCCAGGGAGTTGACAAACATACCTCTGCCAGGCTGGTACATCAAACTTGAAACATCTTTGCTGCTGTAATCCCTTGATCTGTGTGGGTTTTCCACAAATCCCCTTGGCAGCAGCTCCCTGTTTGCCTCCTTACCTGCAATAGGAGAAGAGGAGGGGAGAGGTGCCTCACAGCCTCCTGCCTTCTCCCCAGACCCAGCAGATAAAACAGTCCAGATATGGTCTCAAATTTGAGATGCTGTTTAGAGGAATCTGGTACCAGATTCCACAGGGAACAGCTTGACTTGCTGTGTTTTGCATGCCTTTCTGGGACTTTCATCTCATCAGATCTTTTACTGTAATATCAACTTGTCAGAATGGATTTGGGAGTCCATCCCCTCACCACCAATTAAAATGGAAGTAATTTAGCAAAAGAAGGCCTTGCAGAATTAAACCTGGCAGCTTTCATGCAGCTTATGCTAAAGTTTGAGATACTATCTATTTAAACATAAAAAGTCTATAAAATGTCCACTTCTCTCCCTCACCATGATGTACTGCAGCTCCCTAGACTGCATTTAATATGCAGCACAAATCAAATTCCTAGCCAACCAGATCTGTGCTCCTACTTCACTTGCTATAAGGCAGTAATTAATTTTCAATTAATTTTCACACAGATTATACTTTCTTGAATATTAACTAGAAAGGAGTTAGAATCAAAACCTAATTCAGAATTTGCAGCAAATAAAAATAACAGCTTTTTGTCTTTCTTAGTGCCATTGATCTTTTGAGCCAATACCATTCATAAAAATATATATCTGGCAGGATTAATTTCATGTAACTTTGGGCATCTACAGTAGATGTATCCCTACACTTGATTTTCTCACCTCTTTCTGCACTGTTAGTGACAAGAAATGAGCAATAGGGAATGTCTCATCTGAACTTCTTCAAGCAACAAATTAAGCTATAATTTAGGGTGACAATGGGCACAGAAAAGCCTATTTCTTCCCAGTGGGAATTGTGGCAGCCCAAGCTGAAACCCTCAGGGAGAGCGAGTCATTCCCCATCAGCCTGACCTCAGTGCCTGGCAGGGTTATGGAGCAGATCATCCTAAGTGCAACACACAGCACCTACAGGATGGACAAGGGATCAGACCCAGCCAGCACAGGTTTAGGAAGGGCAGATCCTGTCTGACCAACCTGATCTCCTTTTATGATCAGGTGACCCGCCCGGTGGATGAGGGGAAGGCTGTGGATGAAGTCTACTTGGACTTCAGCTAAGCCTTTGACACCGTCTCCCACAGCATTCTCCTGAAAAAGCTGCAGCCCATGGCTTGGACAGGGGCACTCTGTGCTGGGTCAGGAACTGGCTGATGGCCAGGCCCAGAGAGTGGTGGGGAATGGTGCTGCGTCCAGTTGGGATCCAGTCACTAGTGGTGTTCCCCAGGGATCAGTGTTGGGCCCAGCTCTGTTTAATGTCTTTACTGATGATCTGGATGAGGGGATTGAGTCCAATATTAGCAAATTTGCAGATGACATCAACCTAGGAGGGAGTCAATCAGCTGGAAGGCAGGAGGGCTCTGCAGAGGGACCTGGACAGGCTGGAGAGTTGGGCTGATTCCAGTGGGATGAGGTTCAACAAGGCCAAGTGCCAGGTCCTGCACTTTGGCCACAACAACCCCCTGCAGTGCTACAGGCTGGGGACAGAGTGTCTGGAGAGCAGCCAGGCAGAGAGGGACCTGGGAGTTTGGATTGACAAGAAGCTGAACATGAGCCAACAGTGTGCCCAGGTGGCCAAGAAGGCCAATGAATCCTGGCCTGTACCAGGAATAGTGTGGCAGCAGGACCAGGGAAGTGACTGTTGTACTCGACACTGGTGAGGCCACCCCTCGAGTGCTGTGTCCGGTTCTAGGCCCCTCAGTTCAGGAAGGACATGGAGGTGCTGGAGGAGGTGCAGAGAAGGGTAAGGAGGCTGGTGAAGGGTCTGGAGCACAAGTGATGTGAGGAGAGGCTGAGGGAGCTGGGGTTGTTTAGCCTGGAGAGGAGGAGGCTCAGGGGAGACCT